TACGTTGCGCCGGACGCGGTACATTAATCCGCGCTTGTTCGCGTCTCGTGCAACACATGTCGCTTCGGATAAATATATCGCGGCGAATGTAATTCTCTTTTTTTCCGTGCGCGTTTCAATACTCGCGCTCGAATATCGCGGATGCAACTGCGGCTCTCTCTCTCTCTCTCTCTCTCTCCTCTCTTCTCTCTCTCTCTCTCTCTCTCTCTCTCTTCTCTCTCTCTCTCTCTCTCTCTCTCTCGTCTCTCTCTCTCTCGTCTCTCTCTCTCGTCTCTCTCTCTCTCTCTCTCTCTCTCTCTCTCTCGTCTCTCTCTCTCTCTCTCTCTCATTATTTTATTTATTCCACTTTGGATCTTTAGACTCGGCGGCTTTTTTTATTTTATTTCCGCAATTACACGCGCGATGACTTTCACCGCAGCGGGGGGAGGGCGAATATCAGTTTTCAATTGTTTCCGGCCGCAATTTGTAGCTACGCGCGCGTCCAGTTCGTACAATCGCTCCCTCAAAGGCTCATATCGAGCAAACATACTTGTTTTGATCGGCCGAACTGCAACTAAAATAAAACGCACGCACACGGGCGCGCGCGCGTGCATGCGATTGTTATATCGATCGGCTATTTGTTATTGCAAATTGCGGGTCATATGTATTGTCCGTCCACGTCGTGCCTATGGACCTTTTCATCAGGGAATAAAAGTACGCCTTTCGGAGGATATCCCGCTGACGAGGCGATTTTTCACGTTTTTCATCGGCGTTCCCGCGCCCGCGACGACGCGCCAAATCGCGGACGGAATCGCGCGCGCGTATTAATCTACGCGATCGAAATTTCGTTAGAGCCTCGTCGCCGGTGAAATCCGTTCGTCCTCGATACTTCGTAGCGAAGCTAAACTGGAGCACGTCGAGGCGAGTGACGGAGCCAAGGTAAGCCGCGATAATTGTATAACCGGCTTCCGAGAAGCGGAACGCGCTTTGCTACACGTCGATTTATATCGCCGTTTGCCGTTACTGTCGCCGCCGATCGGCATACGTGAGAGGAACAAGTGTACGCGGGTTTCGCGTCCTGTTTGCGTTCGTGGAAAGCTCCGTCGTCGTCGTCGTCGCTCGAGGAAACGTTTCCGGTAAATCAGGACGAGCGAAAAAATCGGAGACCCTCAGCGGTCTCGATGCGAGCAGCCACAGTGACAAATCTAAAATTTCGCCCTGGTGTCGGCTTATTTCCTCGGCTTCGGGAAACAAACGAAGCTGCAAACGGAGAAAGAGCCGAGCAAGCCGACGCCAAAGAAAGAGAGAGAAGGAGAGCAGAGCAGAGCAGAGCAGAGCAGAGCAGAGCAGAGCAGAGCAGAGCAGAGCGGAGCAGGGAGAGGGGGGAAGGCGGCGAGATAGAAAAACTAGCCAAATAAGCTGTCACAGAGCGAGTAACGAGGCATATAATAACCCTCGGTGACATTCGAACAAACAGCCATCTGTAGGTAATACCCCTGTGGTGAGGAACGCCCCGAAAACTACACCCCGTCAAGAAATTACAATGACAATGAGCGAAATCCGATCCGCCGCCGGGCACGCACTCTGTGTGTGCGCGCTTCTTTCTTCTCTCTTTCTCTCTCTCTCTCCCTCTCTTATTTTTCCTTCACACCTTTTCGCAGCGCACGCGAACGCACTCACGTGCTCACGTACGCGTACGCGTCCTTTCTCCGACGATTCGCCTGTGCGACCTGGTCGGCTTTTCGGCCATTGTGCGACGCGACGATCCGAAGAGAAGCGAGTAGAATTGCCGAGGGTTGCGCGCCGCGCGTTTATACGTTTGTGGGCCGCACGCGGACTCAGGGAAGTCGTTACCTCCTCGAAGTTTCCCGAACGGCAACATCCGCTGAATCGTCGTGCGTTCGTTACTTATTCGCGAGGACTCCCGACGATCCGCAGCCTTCCGCGCGGCGAGACGTCGCGACACCCGCGCGCCTCCGACTTGATCCTGCTTGTAAGGGCGAGAGACTCTGCTTACAATGTTGAGGCTGCGAGGCTGAGCTAATACGACGCCGGCTGCAATCGGACTCGCTCCCGTGAGCCGTTGGATCTAATATTCCCGTGAATACGTAACGATGAACGGAGCGTTGTCGAGTTTCCATTGTGCCGAGCGTAAATTCTGAACGGAGCGTCTTGGTCGGCGCGGAGAACGCGCGGCGGGCGAAGGGGCACCGGCGCGAATTGATGTCGTCTGGCGATTCATTTATTAAGGGCGGATTGAAATAAATTGCATTTCGTTCGCGTTTACGGTTTCTTCTAGCTCGCCGCCGCCGCCGCCGCCGCCGCCGGGAGAAAGCGAAGGAGCGCGCGCTCGCGCGGCGCCTTTGACATTCTGTCGGCTCAAATGATACGAAAATTACTGCCATATTATTCGCCGTGAATCACGCGGCATGATTTCATATTTAATTCATAAAGCGAGAGTCATTTTCAGACTCACCTCCTTCTCGCCGCGCAGGTGTAGGTCCTACGACAAACTGTGTGTAAGAGAGAGAGAGAGAGAGAGAGAGAGACCTCTCCGCTGGACCGCTGATTGGACACGATCGACTAGCTGAGAGCGTGATACTTTCGCAAGACGGCTGGCCGCGATTCAATCTTGCATTGACACGCCGACGAGAGGCGTATTCGCTCGCGGAATTGGACGTGTCGCAAGTTTCCTTATTAACCTGCCTCGATATCGCGATCCGCAACACATCCTCTTTCACAGCGGGACCCGTTGAACTCGCCGCAGATTGCGCAAACGCGGCTCGCGGCTTTCATTGACACGTCTCGCGGCTGCCACGTTGATTTTCACCGATTGCTTCGATGCCCGAGCGAGGTTCCCCCCGACCTGAATCGCGAGAGGGTTGAGTCGAACTCGGGTTCTCAATTCGGGGTGAAGAAAGATGCCGGCAAATATTAGGGATACCGGAAAATCTTTTTGTATTTTTTTCAAAGCCTTCAATTTCCATGGTTATAGTACGGGTTCTCAAATTTAATCCAAAATTAATTTAAATTCCAGATTAGTTAACAACATTTCTTTATTATGTACATCAACTTTCATTAAGATCGAGCTTACTTTATTATTTTCATACAGAGTTTTATAATAAAAACGAAAAGACTTTCCGGTACCACTAATAAATATGATTCGCCGTGTGTTCGCCGTCCTCTCTCGACTAATTAATTTCCCTCATTTTTCATTCGCTTGACTCGTTGATTTTCAAATTGCCATATTCGACGCGATTAGCCGCATTCGGCGAGTTCTACACTAGGAAAAAGAATTTAGTATCTCTAACAAAACTGTTTAGTTGAGATATTTTTTAATAACAAAACCAAATATCTATCTTGTTTTATATAACAAAATATTTAGTTGTCCCAACAATATATTCTTCTGCTTTGTTCTCTGGACCAAATGCTTTTGTTCTTAGACCTCATATATAAAAATTAAGCATCCTAGTTATTTTATCCATAAAAATTACATAATAATAACGGAATATTATTTTACATAAACTAAAAAAATAGTGCCCAATGGATACTATTTTGTCTTTCTGTGCACTAAAATTTAGATTTTATACATTAAGAAAAAATTACAGTATTTTTAACAAAATTCATACAGTCAAAGCTTTTTGGTTGCTATATAACAAAAGTACCACGTTATCCGAACAAACCGTAATCAAACAAGATATTTTTTTACAGAAACTAAACAGTTTTGTGGGGCATATTTTAACCAAATTATTTTGTTGTTACAACAAAATTTTGATTCACGCAACAATACATTTTTCTTAGTGTAGCGGCGGTCACCGGTGACCGCCGACGTGTCCATCGCGTAGCCGAGCGCTGTCCAGCGCCGAGTCGTCGTTGTTCTCGACGAGACAACGCCCGGTCGTGTGTGCGTACGAGTCTCAGCGAATGCACGCACCTGCTGAGTAATCTCGTCCGCGAGTTCTCCGGCGTTATCCGGCGCGTAATCCCATTATACCGAGAGACTAACCTCTCTCCCGAAAAGGAAGCCGGGGCTTAAACTCGCGGACGTGCGCTAACTAGCGGATAATTTAGCGCTACGCCACGCGATTCGCTCCGATAGAGAGCCGCATATGTAGGTCTCCGTAGGCGATTGCTATCTCGCGAGGCATCGATATCGCGAGAGGGACGACGCTCGCATAATAAAAGCGCACCGGAGCGTCACTTTACGGGAGAAAGAGAGAGAGAACGCACCCGCAGCTTTAAACTTATTTTCACGGAGGGTTGAAGGGAGTCCGCGCTTGCTTGCCTTTGACATGCGCGAAGAGAGAGAGAGAGAGAGAGAGAGAGAGAGAGAGAGAGAGAGAGAGAAATAAATTCTAATTAAGGGCGACAAGAGAGAGCGAGAGGGGGAGAGAGAGAGAGAGAGAGAGAGAGAGAGTCGCGCGTCGGTGCGGCTACTTTATATTTCCGGCCGCGCAGTGGCCGCTTTATATCGGGATTATACCGCTGCCCCCGCTATTCCGAGTCGGCGCACGTATTTATCGGCGTTGCGCGTCGTAACGCAGCGCGTAAATTCCGCCGCGAGATAAATTCCGAATCGAACGATCTCCGCCGAGCGAGCCGCCCCATCTGCATCGAAGACATTGTAGTGGCGGAGAGAGCGGCCCGGCTCGCTGGATTACTACGAGGCTCGCGCGGGCCCCGAAATCTCTCAGAGTATCGCGATATATCTCCTTCTCTTCGAGCACCGTTATCGCGAGATACATTTCATCTCTCGGTCGTCTCAAGCTCCCGCTTCTTCCGATTAGTAACGCACGCCGGGGCCAGGCTTTTTCTAGGAACGCGTGCGAGAAGATAACGGCTGAGCAGCTGACTCGCGTCGCGTACCTTAGCGAACTTTCTACAATAATATCGCTTTATCGGTCGCTGAAATCGTATCGACGAGGCTCGGCTGTCGCCTCGTCACAAAAAGCGACTACATCTCCACGGGGAGAGACGGAAAAGGAAAGGCGAGACGTATCAGACGTGAGGCGGTTACTCACTTTTCAACAGCGGCAGGTCGTTCATGAACCCTCCATCGTCCACGTTTGTGTTCTGAAAAAACGGAGAATAATTCGTATTAATGTTTAACAATTAATGTTTGCTAATGTTCATTTGTTTAATGTCTAACACAATGAGCCTTTGCGCGAATAACGGCCGACCCGGTCTGTTTCGTCTTCTTTTCCTCTTCTTTTCCTTTCTTCCTCGCGTTCTCGGAACGTGAGTTCGCTCGCGGTCGCTTCGATTCGCGACGCGGAGACGCTCTCGAGACTTGACGCACATTTTTTCACGCGCAGCGGCAAATGATTGGCAAATTTTCGCGCTGACGAATCCGCGGAGTGACCATGACGGCGCACTCGGCGTCGCTTTCCTCCGCGTCGCCGCGCAGCCTTGTTTCACATCCAAACGAATACTTTTCTCGCGTACACTCGCGAAAGAAGGAAAAATGCTTTCGACCGCGGCAAAGCGCGAGAGCGCGCTTCGTTTCGCAACATACCCGACTCGCGTAGTAACGGGTCGCGTCTGACATTCTATTTAAACGGACGCCCCCGGAAACTTCGCGTCTGTCTAACGCGACTGTTTCTGCGGCGCATCCAGAAGCCGCCAGCCAAGCTAAAAAGAGAGAGAGAGAGAGAGAGAGAGAGAAAAAAGAAAGAAAGCGAAAATCCCCGCATAGTCCGCATAGGCCGCGGAGAATAACGTTGAGTCCTCGTTGGGGGGTCTCGAGGTGGGCTCTGAAAAGAAGACGTCTCTGAACGTTTCGCGGTCTCCCTCTCTCGGGTGAGACAGTCGTCGCAGTCGCAGTCGCAGTCGCAGTCGCAGTCGCAGTCGCAGTCGAAAAACACACGGTGGTATGATAATAGAGAAAATATGTTGCGATTACGTACATCGTCGCTCACCTGGGGGTCGTCAACGAGGCTGCTGTGCAGAACGAGGTCGGTTTGGTCGAGGCCCGGAGGCGGTAGGAGGGCATCAGGGCGACGTACGGCGCCATACTCGACGCCCCTTCCACCTCCACCACCTCCGCCGCCGCCGCCGCCGCCCCCGCCGCCGCCGCCGCCCCCGCCGCTGCTGCGTCCGCCGTCGTATGGGAACGACGCGTGCATGTTCGTCTGAAATCAGAAGCGACGTCCTAATCAGCGTGATATCGCTGTGTGATTCTCACCTGTCGCGCGGAGGCTTCCTCCCGCGCGTTTGTACAATTATTCCGCACGACCGAAGGATCTCTCGGCGGGAAGGATAATCGGCCGGTAGTTTTGCTTCGCCACGTGCGAGCCCGAAATTGAACTTGCTGAACTCGACGCTCGAGTTAGACTCTTTTCTCTCACAATATACACTACTCAAGTCGATCACATTCTCCTCCCTGTTCGCGGAAGGCAATATATTTTCCTTTGCCTTCCTCCTTCCTCGCCCCCTTAACGTATCTTTGACGCGTCTCCGACGAAGGTCTTTGGCGTCTTGGCAGGAAAACGGAAACTGCTACTTTTTTTCCGGGCTTTCAAGCGCCACCCTTCCACCGTTATCGCTCCCGTGGTCACGTCTTGGGTGAAATTTATTCAACTTTGACGCAATCCCTCTAATATTCGCACTTGACCTCTCGCGCGTACCAGGACCAGGTGCGAACGAAAGCGCGCGGAGGTGCCCTGCGCTCGCGCCGAGGATGCTCCTCGCACGGCGGTTTCGCTGAAAATCTCTCGCGTCCGGTTGCTCGCGCGCGCACGTATCCTTATCCTACATCTAATTCGATACCCGTGGCAAACGTTAATTTAGTATCGCGGGAAGCTCCGCGGCACGCGGTGATAGGTGGTAAATAGGTAAAGGCTAGAGGTCGGTAACGAAGTAAAAGGTTGCCGTGCGCGGGAGAAAAATTGCCTCGATTACCGCTATAACGGATCCGTGACGGTCAGGAATCCTCGCCATCTCGCCAGGGGAAGAGACAGGGAGAGGGAGGGAGGGAGAGAGAGAGAGAGAGAGAGAGAGAGAGTAGAGAGATTTTGTACTGCATTTAGGATGATAATGAGGGTAGCCGCGCGCGGGCGGCCATGCGCGCTGTCATTAGCGAAGAAGCATCGTCCGCAATTAGCCGTTAGGTTAGCCGACGCGCGCGCGTATACGTTACACGCCTATTGAATATTTACCTGCTTGTTCTTTACATTAATCACAGAACGACGTGCAACACGATACTTTCCGCGTAACAATCGCTAATGACAGGAGCGAGTCGCGCGCCGCCGCTCCCTCCTGGTGATTCGACTCTTGGCAGGATGCGTGGCGTTCGCAGGCGCTCGCATATACGTATGCGAGAAACGCGAGGTGTGTAATAAATCGCGCGCGCTTTTTGTCGCGCGACGATGTTGCGCGCGTTATTCGATAGACGACGTTGACGAGCGGGTCTACCGTCTCTCGGCTAACGGAATGGCCGTTCCGCGCGCGCGTAACTCTCGCGTAACTCTCGTCAATCTTGGGAGAGATCGAACGACGATGACTGGCCGAAAAGTACGCGCTGTGTGTGTGTGTGTGTGTGTGTGTGTAACACACCGTGAGCGCCGTGGTGGTCGTTCACGATCACCAACGAAAGCGCGTCTCGTGTGTGCTCCACTAAACGGTAAAACGAAAACAACCGTGCACGCGCGCGCGCGCGCGCGGCCGGCTAAAATCATTAAGCATGCGAGAGCGAGTCCGATAAACGACTTCGATTCGGCCGATTCGGCTTGATCTCGCCTTTCTATTCCGCATCACCCGGACCGGCGAATTCTTCGCAGGACCTCGCGTTCGAAACCGCCCGGGAGCAGCCGCGATTCCGTTCGCGTCGCGACCACGGAATAGCGTTCATTTTAATGACGTTGGCGAAGAGACGGAGAGAGAGACAGAGAGAGACGGAGAGAGAGAGAGAGAGAGAGAGAGAGAGAGAGAGAGAGAGAGAGGAATTCTTGCAGAGTCGCGAATACGCGTAAGGTCCCATCGGTAGGAATTCTCTCGCTATAAAAGTCCTCTTATGTCATCGATAAAGACGAACAAGCCGACGACAACGACGACGCCGCTGTCGAGGCTTTAATGAGGCCCTCGCGCTCGCGATTACTCGGTGTTGCTCTCCGGAACGAACACGGGTACATCGTATCGAGTCGATGCGCGAGAGCTTCGTGTCGCGTTCGTCGAGCAAAATAGAAGGCGAGGCTAGGCAATCCTCTCGGAGGGTTCATAATTTTTGCGATTAAGACGAAGGACGTCGCGGTGTCCTTCTGAATCTCCTCGTCGGGGAGAGTTTCCACGCTTTTTTCTCACGGCCAGGACTGTGTTCCGCGCGAGTGCAAGAGGGAGAGACGAGGAGTCTTTGGCTGGCGCCGACTTAACGCTTCGTAGACGGGATCGATCGGCCGATCGATCACGATCGGGAGATGTTGGTCGCGCGAGCGGAGTGACGAGGGAAACGCCGAGCGCGCTCGTGAGAATTAATTCCCTCACGCAAGTCGGCCGCGCGTATGTGAACGAGGTACGAGCACGAGTATACGCCGATACGGAAAACGATAAGCGGCCGAACGATAGCGAGACCGAGCCGCGGCTCTTCCGAGAAACCGCGAACAGGGCGGATATATACTCGGAATCCTAATCGCCGCCGGCGGCGGCGGAAAAAGTGGCGATTTTATCGGGACTGCGAGTCTCGCGCTCGCAAGTCGCAAATACGGTTATATTACACGAGCCCTTGCCCATTATTGTTCCACATCCTTGCCGCGCGCCTGCCTTCGCCCGAAGAAATCGGCCGAGCGAGTTTCTCCGATTTCTTCGTTAGATTGTTCCCGCCCGTCGCCGTCGCCATCGTCGTCGCCGCGAGATCCGTCCGTCGCGATCGTTTAGATCGACGTGCGCGACGCACGCACACACGCGTGTGCTCGCGCGTAACGGAGGAGGAAAAAGTAACGAGGAAAAAGAGCTCGCGAACGGTACTAAGTTCTCCCGACGAGGGACGCTCGGCATTTCTCGCGTCAGCGCCGCTGACGTGTTTATGCCCGCTCGCTCGTTCCGCGCGTTCATTCTGCTTTCGATTCCCGCTCGTGCCCTAATTACGCCACGGTCGCTCTCAGCGATTCCCCGCCCGCTTTTTCTCCTCTCATCGCGAAGGGCCGAAGAAGCGCCCATTTCGGCCACTTCGCGAGAGGAGACATTTGCTCGCGCGCGCGCGATCTTACCGTTTCGCGAGATCGAGGCTGTCCGATCGATTCATCATCATCCCATCGCGCGAGGAACGCGGCGCGTTCGGCTTAGCAAATATGCCTAATGAGTTAGATATGATCGATAGTGGCGCTACTTCTCGCGTTCCCGCGACGGGAAATTGGTCGGCGGACGCGAAAGACGAACGGCAAAGAGAGAGAGAGAGAGAGAGAGAGGGGAGGGAAAGGGGCATTAAGGTCATGACTCGTCCGAATTCGTACTCGTGCGTGATTAGGAAGACTCGAAAATTATACGTTTTGTCGCGTGACGCCGCGACGTGGAACTCGGGACGACGCTTTCACGTTTCAAGCAGCGCGAGAGACAAGAAGGGAAGAGGGGCACGACGACGCTAATTAACGTGTCTGCCGGCAGAGAGAGAGAGAGAGAGAAAGAGAGACCGCTTTCTGAGATTATTGACGAGTCCTCGGATACGTGTATACGCATTGATAGGCGAGCAGCGCGCCATGTCGACTAATGAGATGAAATGTGATCGCCTTTCTCTCGTTAAACGCTCTCCGTTAAAATAAAATCACCTATACACCCGGCGCGCGGTAACGTCGATGCTGATTAATGACGGCGTGCGTATCTCGTGTAGCGCCTGCAACGAGACGAGACGAGACGGACGAGTGTTAATACGCGCGCATCGACATTCTCGCATCGCTTTAGCCGATATATCCCTCGTTGTGCAATTCCCCCCAACATCGTCGTCGTCGTCGTCGTCGTCGTCGTCGTCGCCGTGCGCGCACTCGTGAAACGCGTTATTTACGCGTTACTCACCCCCCGCCAGGGGTGGCGAGCCGCGGACGCTCTGGTTTTTTCAGCGCGTGTTTTTTAACCCCGTGAAACAGTTTTCCACGTGTGAGTCGGCCATTACACCGACGTGGAAACAAGAGGAAGGTATGGATATCTTTCTCGGTAGCAAGGTGTCCCGCGGTGGCCGTTTTCTTCGAGGCCCTCTCGGCCGATCCTTAAAATGTCATCCGCTTTAATATCGCGGCACCTTCGGGAGTTTAAGTACGAAACGACCGGAGACCTCTGGGGGGAGGGGGATTTACTTCCCGAATTTCTCGCAGCCAGGTCGCACTCGAGGACTCGCGAGAGAGACTGGGCGTGTTCCGATCAAGTGGAGCGAATGTGTTTCGGCCCGACGGCCGAATTTCGAATGCGAATATTTATTTTCGACTGAATTCGGACCGGATTCCGCACGAGCGGAAAGTTTACTCGAATTCCAAACGAATCTCGGCCGTGAGGCCGCCATTTTTCGCGCGGAATTTCACTCGGCGAGATTTCCATAACACAAGGCCCGCAGAAATATATCGCGCATCGCACCTCTCGCTCTTTATTCCTCGTATTTTTCCGTCGCTGCGACAAGCCGTGAGCTCACCCCAATCGGCGATCCACCCTAATCCGCCCTTGCGCCATTGGCGCGGCCTATTAAAAAACAGACGCGCTCTTTAAGCGTGCCGCGCGCGCGCGCGCGCGCGCGCGACGAAGAAGCGGCGCTAAACGCCGGCGATTTCTCGAACTCGAAGCCCTTCTGGCCGAAAAACAGCCGTCACAAACGCTGCTCTCTCGAGCATAAATGCGGGGAAGGGGCGCTCGCTCGCTCGCTCGAGGTACCGTGGGGGTTCACAATGAAGCGCGAGGGGAGGACGGCGCATCACGACGACGGTACAGCGCCGCCGCCTTCGCGTTATCCTTTTCAAGGATACGGCCATTGGGATCGACCGATCCACTCGCTTGATTATTGGCATTGTAGTCTGCTTGCGACGAAGCGCGCTCGTCTCGTCCACGTCGCGTCGAGGGTGAATCGAAAAACGAGCGGAGAGACCCGTTAAAGCAGCGTTTCCCGGAAGTTGATATCTGACGACCCTCTGATATTTTCTCACAAAAAGGGAGAGAGAGAGAG